AAAGAACAAACTTAAATGAGATAAAGTAGAAGACTAAAAAAGTTTAAAGTTATTAATCTATGTCCCTACATTTCTAATAAAAATTATGGCTTCTTTACAAGTAAATTTAGATTTTATCATTAACACACATGTAAGTTTTGGTTCATCAATAATTACTAAAATAGACATAAATATGGTATAAAATTATGTCATTAATAATTAATTTGTTGAGTTATAATAACTTATTTTTTCATAGTAATGTTTTCATAGTATTGTTTTTAATTTAATTAAAATTCAATTAATTAAAAATTATAGATGAATTTCTAATCCGATTTTTCAAAAAAATGAAAAATAATTAATTATGGAACGAAAATAGTGAGATATAAGAATACTAGAAGAAGAACTAGTTTTCATGTAAAACATCGCTTTTAAAACTGAGAGTACCGTAACTGACCCTGAAATCCCTACTATAATGATGTCTTCGCAAAGTAGTAAACAAGTAAATAACAACATATATTTTACATAATATTACTGTAATTGTAACATAGATTGAAATTCCGGTTCACTAACTGAACTTCAAAATATAGTAACATAATTTATTTATATATTATACATGTAAAAGTAGCTCCTCGAAGCTATCCCATCGAACTATGCCTGTTGTCCAGTAGTCACATCTCCATCTCTCAAGTCCTGATATGCTCCCACATAAAAGTGATCATTGCAGTCCCATTCACATGAAAAAATAGGGGTAAATATTAAATAATTCGATATAATAAAATAGATATAGAAGTAATAATTATATATTATGATCAATTACAAAATCATCAACACACTAAGACACCTTCCGGAAGTATACCCTAACTATGCCCGAACTCAGAGGCTATCATCTGTGGGCACATTGTGATCGATACCCGCAGTACCATTCTGACCACCCTCCACACAGAGTAGGATTACTGGCGCCCTTCATCACTCATACTGGAGTACCCCTCCGAGCGCGCCACCAGTCATCCCCCATCGACTTCTCACCACCTGATCTCGTAGTCTACATGACCCGACCAATCAGTGAAGTCTGGGACCTCATTCAGAATCCTCCGACATAGTTATTACACTAATGTACTATGTACCATCCCGGGTACCATTCAAACATAACAAAATTTATTCACATTTGTCGGATTCTGGACCACCTGTCCTCACGGCTCATTCGGGTCAATAAAAATAGTATTTGATTGATTCTGGCACCAACCCTCCGGCTCAGTCTAGCCAATATATAATGTCTCAGGACTGATTCTGGGTATCAGCCCTCAGGCTCAGTCTGACCCACACACGTCACAACACACTACTTTCATTCTCTCTCTTTATATATATATTTTTCTAAAATCATTTCCGAAATCATTTCCGAAACTATTTCCGAAACTATTTTCGAAATCATTTTCGAAATCATTAAATTACTATCTTGCCCTTAATCTTTTCTTAAAATTCCATGTATGTCCCTAAATGACTATTTTACCCTTGATCATTTTTAAAAATTCCTTCCATGTCCCGAAAATGACTATTTTGCCCTTGGACATTTTCAAAAATTCCTTCCATGTCCCGCAAATGACTATTTTACCCTTGAATAATTTCAAAAATTCCATTTATGCCCTAGGATGTAAAATGACTATTTTGCCCTTGAACATTTTCGAAAATTACATTTATGTCCCTAGGGTGTAAAATCTTGATCTTTTTAAAAAATCTCCACCATATCCCTTTCTTCTTCCTTGGCCCATTAACAGTGTCGAATTTTGCAGATTTTGACAGATTTCAAATTACTCAATTTTAGACAACCAAACTAGTCCCAAATCGAAATTAAACATGAATTATATCTAATTTAAGTTGAAAACAACAATTTTACCATATAATTCATCCTTAATTTCAAGAATTTAATCAATATTTAAAACTTTGCAAAATATGAATAGTAATCACCTCCAGTACGCCATTTTCAAAATTCAGGTTTCAAATTTCTCCGTTTCAATCACCCAAATTAGTTCCAAATCAAAATTAAACCATAAACATGTTCAATTTAAGTTAAAAACGACAATTTTATTATATAATGCATTCTTAATTTCAAGAATTTCAAAAACTTTCAAACGGTGAACAATTAATCAAAATCAGAAATTCTTCAAAATCAGACATTCAAATAATTCATATCTCTACTCCTATTCCTTATTCACAGAGTACCCAGCAATTCAATTTCATATATTGAATGAATTAAACTTCCCCTTACCTGGTATGGTATTTTTACCGAAGCTTTCTCACTTAATTCAAGTTCTCTCCCTTTTCACGAGATCCTGCACGAGTAGAGTCTCGTTGCTTGAAATTTAGACAATAGAAGAAGAAGGATGAGAGGAAATTTTTATTCTCCTCCTCTCCAGCTTCATATAAAAGCAAAAATTCACTGTGGATGAGAAAAACTTCGTTACAAAGTTTTCTTGAACAATAATCTTATTATAATATAAAAAAAATACGTCACACTACCTTCAACGTATGAAACATAAAACTACTATAAAAGGAGTATTTATCAGGGATAATTTATATTTAAAAGTGATGTAACAAGTTTTTCAAATTTCTATTTGAGACGTAGAAAATTCAGAATCTAAAACGTGGAAAGCCACCATAGGATATATCATATAGGATGTTTACGGAAAGAATCCAAAATTCCATTTTCACATTAGAGTCTTTGGGTTTTCATTATACTATACGATAAAATAATACCTAAAGGTATAATAAGAATAGGATAAACTAATAAAAAAATAAAATATTAGGTTTACCAATGTTTCATGGTTAGTATGATAATGATGGATCAAATATAATAAGTTATGGTGATTGATAATAATTATGATGGTACAATAAGGATAATAATGATTATAATATAATTGGATTATAATAATAAAAGTATATTTATTTTTTTGTATTTCTCAATCTTTGAATCATAGACATTTTGTAACATTTGAACACGTTCTACATAAAGTATAAGGTGTAATAAGAATGTGCTAAAATATAATCATGAAACCGATAAAATTGTTATAGAAAACTTTATTTACCATTATTTTTGGAAAAAAAAATCAAAAAATTAGAGATTAATTTATATGCAAATAAAAAAATGAATTAAAATAAATTATGAGACAAATTTTCGATTAATTTATTTTTAAACTAACTTTAATTTGTGAATAAGTTTGTGTTTTTATAAATATTTATAGAAAAGTTTGTTCCCAAAAAAAGATATTCGAATATTTTAATTTAAATGTTAAATATATATGGTATTAGTTTTGTATATTGATGGTTTCTATACATTGCTAAGTATAACATTATAAGTAGTTTATGAAAAGTAAAAGGTTTTAATTGAAATGTTTAAAATGAATTTATGTGGTCATTAAATTAGGCATGTATTTTTAAAATAAAGAAAAATGACACCATTCATAAATTTATATTTTGAAGATTAGACTATTTTAAATATAGTTTTCCAATAGTTTCTATTAAAATATAACCATTAATGTATTAATATGATCTTCAGTATAAAATGTTAATATAATAATACGAAGTGATTTCCTTCAACTATTATAATATAGCATTTCTTTTTCAAATGATAGAAAATTCCAATGAATTTTCATCATAAATTTCAAATGAGAAATAACATTAAAAGTAGCTAGAATAAATTTTATAAGTGTGTTTAATGGTGAAATGTCCCAAAATGTGAGGGACTAATAATGAATTTAATATCACTTTAAAGAATCAAACCACCCAAGACTCATTTTTTACTATCTAATATAGACAGTATATATTTATTTTTTTAATAAAAAGTAACTCACGAACTAATAAAACGTTGGCCTATTAGCTCAGTTGGTTAGAGCGTGGTGTTAATAACGCCAAGGTCGCAGGTTCGAAACCTGCATGGGCCAATTATTTCTGAATAACATTGAAAATGATGAATTTATTTAATCATTATTAAATTAGTAATACATATTTTAAAATAAATTAAACCATTCATAAATTTATATTTCGAAGATTATACTATTTTAAATATAGTTTGTCAATGGTTTCTATTAAAATATAAACATTAGTGTATTGATATGATCCTCGTTATAAGATGTTAATATATTAATATGAAGTAATTGCCTTCAAGCTATTAATATAGTTTTTCTTTTTCAAATGATAAAAATTCCAATGAATTTTCATCACAAATTTCAAATGAAAAATAACATTAAAATTCATATAAAATGTAAAATTAAATTGTTTAATTTATTCTTTTAGAGAATAGGATAATTATCCTGTTCTATATATTTTAATATAGATTTTTATTTATTGCTATATATTGTGATCATGTTATTTTTGGACTAATTTTCATTGGTTCTAACTTTTTTCGTCATTTCTATTTAAAATTCTATTTGAGACGGGAAAAAAAATTGGAATGGAAGAAAGGAACAAAATGTATTGGACATTAAGATACATACAATGCATTAAACAATTGCTATCAAATTAAACATACAATAAAGCAGGAAGCAATGGTTTTGAGATTACCCTGATAGTGTTCCCTTCTTTTCTAAGTTGTGCTTGTGTTCCTATTGTCTTGTTGGTATATTGTAGGAAATTTGAACCCCTATTCTCTTATCAGATTGTTCTACTTAAACTCGAATTTTGATTCATGGCAGCTCCCATTGTCCATGGAGAAGCAAAAATCAGGGTGACTACTGTTGGTGGCTGACAAGGTAGGGTGGCTGGAGATGGAAACGTATCTTTTTTTTTTTATATTTAAATTTTTCTAAAATATTTTTTTAAGAAAAAAAAAGGTGTTTATAGTGTCACATTAACCATTATTGAAAAAATTTTAAACATTGGAGATTCCTCCAAGAAAAGTTAAATAAACCGTAACATTGGAGATGTTCTTTACTCACCTCATAATTTTCCATTTTCAAAGGACAATATCATTCTATTTCATTAGTGTCTACTTTGTTGTCATTATTTTTTTTCTTTTATTGGATTAACATTTAAAATGAAATACTAGGATTAAGCAATGCAAAACGAAGGAAGTCAACATCATCTTCCAAGAGAGTTATATGTTTCTCTGCCATTGTGATCCATGCCTCTATTCCCTCTCTTGTTTCCATCAATACCACTGTGTTTGGAATTGTTTCTTTAGTACCTCCTCTTTGAGCTAGCCACAAAGGTTTTCCACTACCAAAATCCACCTCATTGAATCCCATATTAGCCCAACTTGTGAACACTAAAGAAATTGGGTTATTTGCTGCTATACTTTCAAGCATTAGTTCTGCACACTCATCACTCCACAAAAAATTAGGATCATTCTGTAATTTTAGAAACAAATCCTTAGTGAGTTTTCCAAGTCCTTCTTTTAGAATTTTAACCAAATTTGTAACATCAGTGTTCTTGTTAACATCCTCAAAGAGAATCAATGCAGGCCACAACAAATTTCCAATAGCACCTTTTGAGAAAGGCTCTCCCATTCTTTTTCTCATGTCCACAACATGTAGTGCAACCATTGGTCTTGTTTTGTCACAGGATTTCTCCTTGATTGCTACAATCATATGTTTACATATGAATGAAGATACTACTTGGTATCTTGTAGGTTTTGTTTCATCACTTGTTGACATGGATTTTAACTCATTGATGGCTTTGCAATCAAATAAGAATCTTCTTGTGGTGCAGTTTTCTTCTATATTCAAGTGTTTGTTAAGATTCAACATGCCAGCACGTACACCAATGGTGTTTCTGGGAGGGAAGGAAGAGGAAGCAGAAAAGAAATCTGGCCATGATATTTCTTCCTTTGACCCTTTGCAAATGGCAAACCAGGTTTTCAAGAAGGCACTGCAAGAATATGCATCCAAGAGGATGTGGAGGTTGCACAAACCAATAGCTATGCCTCCACATTGGAAAAGATTTACTTGAACAAGTAGTTGGGGCAAGACTTCTTGGTGAGGATGACACTTGTTAGGTTCACATGGAAGTAATTTGTTTAGCAGTTCCAATTTGGGTGGTGTTAAGAACACTTCCATGTTGGTATTCACTGAAGCTTCCATGTAAATTGCACCTTCATCATTACAATCAATGGAGAAGTGATCACATCTTCTACCTCCAAGAGGGTAGAAAATAGTCAGTGCCTCAGATAGTGATCTCTTCAATTGAGTTGAGACATCTGAGAATCCCTGAAGGTTGGTTTTGCAGTAAAAAAGGATTAATGGAAAATAGGTGTTGAGTTGAAACACATCAAACAAGCATAATTTTAGGGTTTTGCATTCTCTAGAAGTGGGCAATGACGGTTTAATGGTTTCTCTTGATGTGATGCTAAATTCCATCTCAACTATTATAATCACACAAGCTTGAATTAGATACGAATAAGTGAGATTCTGAGTGTTTATATATACTATTTGATGAATATTGTTGGAAACATTCTAGAAAATGAATATTTTAATTGCCATATAGCCATCACTTCAATATTTTTGGCTACTACATTATCTAATCTATGTATTGCAAAAAAAAAAAAAAAAAAAGTCTACTTAATGGTTATTACTGTCATGGTTTAATTAATAGTTACAATTTTTAATGCAACAGTGAATAAACGTTCTTATAATCAATCGTCAAGGGTTTCCATGCATTGTTGTTTTATATTTTGTTATAACTGAAAATAAACGTTTTCATTTGTTAGATTTTACAAAACTGAAAATCATAATCATATATTTTAAAAATAATTACCAAAAATACTTTTTAATATGCTTAATTACAATTATTCTTATAATTTTTTCCATTTACTCTTATTTTTTTACACATATTTTATAATTTTAATCTAATTAATGTACTTTGTTCTCAAATGTACTATTTTTATTGCACATGAAACTCCAATCTGTCAAACCTACATTAAAGTATATTATGTCACTAATAGAAATTATAATATAGTTATATGAAACATTTTAAACACCTTTTTTTTCATATAACGTTATTTTACTATAAAAAAAATAATTATTTAAAAACTGACCTATTTTAAAATTTATCGTTTTAGATGTTTTAAATTTCATTAAAAACATGAGAAACAATTGAAATTGAATTCCATAGGTTGATGGCATAACATAAAAAGCTCGCATTAAGGTTAACAATTGTATTAAAACTCATACTAATGTTATGACTACAAAAAACGTTGTTGAAAAATGGATTCTTTTTAATTACCATTATTTAATTATCATTCGATCATTAAGTTAGGATGATAATAAAAAAACTCCAATTATTAAATCTCTCACATTAATGTAGATTTATGTTACTAATAGTAATTTTAAAAAGTTTGTTTAAACACCCAACTTATCTTTTATTTGATGTTAAGATATGTGAGAACTTCATCGACAATATGAAAAAAATGAGTGCTTCTAGTTTTCAAGTCAAGATATTATATAATATTCATACACGTTTCAATATTATGTTCGAGTTTGTATTAGGGTTATGATTAATGTCGGAGACATTGCAGAAGAATGTATATTTAGAAACTGAATTTTTAAGATATTGAGAGAGTTACGTGACAAAATATAGATTTAAACACCTAACCTATATTTTTCAGTCATTGTAAGTTAAGAAATTGATAGAGAAAGAGAATTATCTACCATGAATTTTTCATGGTTTTTTTAATAATATATATTATAACTATAAAACTTTTTACAATTTTAATAAATATAAATTTGTTTATAATATATTTTTAAATAGTTACTATTAAAAATAATATATAATACTCTTGAATAAATTGGCTATTAATTAAAAAAATGAAAATATTAATAAATGACTTAAAGACATAGATAGTTAAACAATAGAAAAACTTTTTATTAAAAGATGTAATACTTTTTATTTTTTTATTTTTTTATTTTTCAACTTGTTTTTATGTTTGGGCAATAGGCATTGGGACAAGTAGAGATATCAACAGTTTAATCATTCTAATTGTATATAAAATAAGTTGTTTTAATGTGTTTTAAAATAATTTACTTTTAATAAAAATATATATTTCAAATTATTTTTGGTATAAATATGTTTCTAGTTAATATTTTTAATGTATTTTTCACTTTTTATTTGAAAGAAAGTGTTTGATTAATATTTGAAAATAACTATAGATGTTGTATAGTCAATATAAATTTATCCAATTACATCGTTATAATAATAGTATCTACGTACTAAAATTTTTAAAAATAATAAATATTTTATTATTTTTTCATAGAGAATAATGAATGTTGTTTTTCTTTTCTTAATCCATTTGTAATTTATTTCTTTTAAAAAAACTAAATCATCATTTATATTATAAATTGTGTAAATATCTACTAATAGTGTGAATATCAAACATTTTTTCAATTAATGGGATATAAGGACAAAAAGTTAATGTCTGATTCCTATTATCATATCTTATATATTGAAGTAGTTCCCCAATTAATTGTGAATGATCATTTATAACATGAAATTAAAAAAATATAATTTAAAATTAAGAAAAATATTTAATTATTTTATTTAAAGATAATTTTAGAGTTTAATTTTAAAAATATTTTTATAAATCAATTTTTTTATAATTTAGTTTAAAATCTATTTAAATCATAGAATAAATAATAATAAAAGTTGTGAGAAAAATTAGATTTTTTTTATAATTTTATAATTAAATATTAGATGGAAAAAATTATAATTAAAAAAAAATAAATATTTGTTATTTATTATTAGATAATTTTTTACAAATTTTTAAAATTATAAATTTGAAAACTATTTTAAAAATAATAATAAAAATATTCTTAAATATTTTTGAAAAATCTATCTATCAATAAACTATTATTAAAGAAACATAAAATGAAATAAAAAAAATCGTAAATTCAGTATTAAAAAAAAAAAACAAAAGGAAAATTTCATGTAATATGTTTAATATTTGATTTAAATAAATTCAACATTATTCTTATAATAAATTACATAAGTATATACTACTATTAAACTTACATATGTATATATATTAATATATGCTATCAATTGATTATATATATAATTGGATTATAATTATAAAAGTGACATAATAAACATGATAGATAGATTAATAATAATACTAATAATTATAGAAATAAAAAATTATAAAATAATGATAAGATAATAGAAATAATAATAATTATTATAATAATAAATAAATACTTATGGGCAATACTAATGACAAAGGGTGATATTATGTTTTCGGTGGTATTAACTATCTTACGAGAGTTATTTATATTTTATTAATAAAAATAATATTTTATTATAATATGATTTTTTTAATTTGGTAAATTTAATTATATAAATATTTTTTAAATTTAAGAAATAAATAAATATTTGTACATCTTAAAAATATATTTATTAGTAAAAAAACTCATATAAATAATTCATATTAAAGGTATTATTATCTTATTAGAAGAAGAGGTTAAGTATTTTTTTAGTCTTTATACTTTCATGTGAAATTGAAGATAATCCCTTTGTCATAGTTCACATAAAAATATCTCTATACTTTTGAAATGATTGAAATAGATTCTTATTTTAAACGATGTTAAGTATATGCTGACCTGTCTAACAGAAATGGTATGACTGATTCATTATTTGACACGTGTAATTATTTACAAAAATAAAATTAAAAGGTGTCAAACTTTTAAAAGTCATTTAAATCCGTATTTATAGTATTTAAAAGTCATTTAAAAAGAAATTTAAACTTCTCTATCATTTATAAGCTATTTAAACTTCTCTACCTTAGTTTTTGGAAATGAAAACCCTAGCTATGGTATATTACCATCGCACACTGCCATTGTACACTACCGTTGCACTGCCAATCAAACTACAACGAACCAATGGAACCCTCGAACTTCAAAGTCACTTTGACTTCATAAAACCTTTACAGAGAAAGAAAAGATCTTTGGTGTGTGACGAGAAAATAAGAGAGAACGAAAAGTAGCTGTGACGAGAAAAGAAAAGAGAATGAAAAGTGGTTATGACGAGAACTAAAGAGCTTTGGTGCGTGTGGAGAAAAGAAAAGCTTATACTTTTTAATTTTATTTTTTGTTTTTTTTTAAATAATAATCTCTATTGAATAATTTCTATTTTTTTAAAGAAGAGTTTTGTTTTGTTTTTAATAATTACGTGTGTCAAATAATGAATGAGTCATATTATCTCTATTAGACAGTGTCACCATATATTTAACGTCGTTTAAAATATGGATCTATTCCAATTATTTCAAAAGTATAGAAATCATTTTTATGTGAACTTTGACACAAGAACTATTTTTAATTTCACATGAAAATACAAGGACTAAAAACATATTTAACCATTAGAAGAACTAAGTACTTATAAAAAATTTAGGATTGTGTAATAAATATTCTATAAGTATAATTGTGAAATAAATATATCAAGCATTCAATTGTGTTTATATTTGACCGAAATTTTTAAAATAAAGAAAATAAATTAAATCATTCATAATTTTATAGTTTGAAGATTAGACTATTTTAAATGTAATTTTTGAAAAAAAAATAATTGAAATAAAACATTAATGTATTAGTATGATTTTCAATATAAGACGTTAATATATTAATATGAAGTGATTGCTTTATTAATATAGTTTTTTATTTTTCAAATGATAAAAAACTCCAATGATTTTTCATCACAAATTAATATCAAATGAAAAATAACTTTAAAATTCAGGATAAGATGTTAATATAATAATACGAAGTGATTTCCTTCAACTATTAAGATAGTTTTTATTTTTCAAATGATAAAAAAATTCCAATGATTTTTCATCATAAATTTCCAAGGAAAGATGACATTAAACGTAGCTAGAACAAAATTTATTGGTGAAATATTCCAAAGTTTGAGGGACTAATGAAACTGAGTATCAGTTTAAAGAATCAATCAAACCACCCAAAACTCAATTTTTACTATGTAATGTAGATAGTGTATATTTATTTTTCAATAGAAAAGAAATTACAAATGAAGTACTATATATTGTAAAAAGTAAATATCGGCCTATTAGCTCAGTTGGTTAGAGCGTGGTGCTAATAACGCCAAGGTCGCAGGTTCGAAACCTGCATGGGCCATTGATTTTTGTATATATTTTTACATATGGTTCCTATATTTTAAAAATAGATTTTTGGATCCTTAAAATTTAAAGTAATATAAATTTATTTGTTCTTTTTATCATTTTTTAACGGTAAAAAGTTTCTATTAAATATAAATTTTAAGTATAAATACAAATTATAATAACTTATTTTATGAATTTAGTTATGTGATTTACAAAATTATTATTAGTTATCAAATTTTTAGATATAAAATAATTAAAACATCATATTTTTAAAAATTAATTAAATTAAGTTTAAAAGAAAAAAAGGACAAATTATATATGTCCTTTTTTTCAATTCGTTTGAATTTTAAAATAATTATTTTAACTTTTATAAAATGAATGGATTTTAGTTGTAGCATATCTGAAGTATTTTTTTATTCCTTAACAATTCGATTTTGTTATATTTAACATTTATTTAGAGATAATAAGTAATAATTTTAAAACATTTACAAGAATGTATAAATATTACACGAACCGATAAATATGGTATGAAATCATCATTTAATTCTTCTTTTAATATAAAAATTATAACTTCACATAATATTATAAATAACCAATGAATTTTAATTTTATGAAATGAAAAGTAAACATTATTTTATAGGAATTATTACAAATATTTATTCAAAAAATATTAAAAATATATATTAAATACAATAACAGTATCCATAAATAAAATGTGAAGTGTATCATCAAATTGAATCTACAAATTTAAAAATAAAAAATACATTAAACTGATACATAAATAACCCTATCCGATGGATTAAATCATGATCGGAAATAACCGCCACGTCAGCTATTGAACGAAATTACCAAAAACACCCTCTGTTTATCATCGGGCCTCACCCACCTGTGCATAACAAAACCAAATCCCGACACGCAATTCACACTTGTTCCCCTCTCATCGCCATCTTCATTTTCATCACTCCCGAGGCTCTGAAACTCTCGTTCAACACACTGATCGCGCTCGCATATACTCACACGAAGAGCTTGGACCTTCGAGAGCTTCTCATCGAAACGCACCGTATCGTGCACAGGCCAATGCCGTGCTCTTCCTCCACTTCCACTACCACTGGCGATAACAGCAGCAGCAGCAACAACAACAACAAGAATAGAAATGATTCTTCTTGTCTGCGCGAGTTCAAGCTGAACGAATCCACTTTTCTAGCTTCGCTCATGCCTAAGAAGGAGATTGGCGTCGATCGTTTCCTCGACGCTCATCCTGAGTACGACGGTCGCGGCGTTCTCATCGCCATCTTCGGTAGTTTGACACCGTTGACTTTGGCTCCACTATGCGTTCTTCTTCAATTTGTTTATGATTTGTTTTAAAATTCGGATGTTGAAATGTTTGGAAGTGAACAATCGGAAATAATCTCGAGTTGAGGACTGTGTTTGAGGCTTCGAGCTAAATTGTTGTGTGATTAAAATGTGTTATATTATATTGAAGTTTTGAGAGTGGAATTAATCAATAAGATGCGTTTCGTCTCTTTGTTTTCCAATTAGTTGTCTTCGGTTCGCATGTGTGGAGATTTGTCGTGGATTTGATGCAAAGAAATTGAAGATATGCTGAAATTATTGGAGTTTGTTTTTTTTGGATTGGAAGTGATTTGATGTAGTTATGTCCGTTTCTATGGTTACGTGAATCATGCTTGAGCGGTGGAATTGAAGAGCGAAGCGAGAGAATTTGTTGAATTGGATGGGCTGATGAAGTGTTTTTTAGTGCTTTAGAAAGTTTTGTTTGTAAGATGTGTTGTGTATTCATATATCGGGGATTTGCTGTCTTTGAATCTTTAAATGATTTTTTTGTTTCGATTTAGTGATGAATATAAACGCTGTGTTTCTTACAAGCTATGTTTGCATATTTTCTCTTTTGATTATATAGTCTGGATCCATTTTTCCTGTTTATTCTTTATGGAAAATGTGTTTCTTCCATGGTCCGTCTAGACTGTGGAGTAATGATTGTAACCTGCACTTTGTTCTTTTGTTGACTCCGTGCCCATCTAATTTTCTGATGCTACTAGAGTGTCCTTTAGAGTAATGATTATGTTTATTGTATTCTTATGCATGTTTTTGTTATACTGTTATTGTATTTGTTAACTGTTCATATGCCAAATTTGTTCAATCATTAGATTTGCATGTTTACAGATTCTGGTGTAGACCCAGCTGCTGATGGATTACATATTACCTCAGATGGGAAACCAAAAGTTCTCGATGTCCTTGATTGGTAAATATAAATTACTTCATGTTGGATTTTAGCTGATAATTCTTTTAAGTGTGTATTGGTTTCCCAATAAATATAATGGTACTTTTTGTTTCCTCAGCACAGGGAGTGGTGATATTGATACCTCAAAGGTGGTGAAGGCTGATGCTGACGGTCGTATTACTGGGGCATCAGGTTAGTGCCAGGAATACTATGTAGCCTGTTACAAATAATTTTGTTCAGACACTTTTCGGTATATATTGTAGTAATTGGTTGTAACACAGGATCTATTTGTAAAAGAAAACTACGTGCACAGTTTATGTGACCTTTTTATGGATGAAGCTGGACAGTTATTACACTGAGTAGGGCAGTCTGAAAGCAAATTAGTACTCTTGATCACATGTACATTAAAGTGATTTATAGGATACCTTAGTGAAGACACAAAGTATGGATACAATGGTCAGATTGGTTTTGATTTTATTCTCTGTTCCATAAAATATTATTCTATAATAGTTTTGAAGAAAATAATGATAAAAAAAATCTGTTTAGAAGATCTTTTTCCCAGACTAGTTAGAAAATAACATGTTCTTTGATTACAACCTTTCTGCTGATGAGGCAGGGTTCCATTTTTTTTTATTTACTGGATCATGATTTTTTTTATGCTTACAGAATAATGATTTGAGTCCTAAATTTGAACTGTTTTGTTTTCTTGGTTTTAAAGTGCCTACCTTGTCATATTGTTTCGAACAATTAAGATAAGGAAACACTTAATCTTTCACTAATTCTTTATTATTTCAGCCAAAAACTCTTACTGAGAACAGAAACCAAATAGGCCCTTAAAGTTTCCTCCAAAAAATCTGATGAACTATTTGTTTTTCTTGTTTTCTTCTGTTTTCTGTCAGCTGTTTTTGTGTTAATACATATATCTCCTACACTGGTGCCTGTTTCTTCCCTTTTCTATTTATTAAATTTTGTCAGTCAAGGGAAATGAACCATTGAATTATTAAGTTTGTGTCTATGGTTCTATCTTCCTGAAAAATATTTTACAGGGGCATCATTGGTTATCAATACTTCATGGAAAAATCCTTCTGGTGAATGGCATGTGGGTTTTAAATTGGTTTATGAGCTATTCACAGAAGATTTGACTTCTCGTTTGAAGGTTGTATTACAGTTTTATGAAATATTTTAGTTTCATTTTAGGCTTCATGCTTCTGGTTATTAAAGAGAATTTCTGTTTTTTTTTTCTTTTGAATTTTCCATTGGCAGAAAGAAAGAAAGAAAAAGTGGGATGAGAAAAACCAGGAGGAAATTGCTAAGGCTGTAAAACAACTTGCTGATTTTGATCAGGTTCATTGGAATCTTATTGATTCTTACTATGTAGAACCTTTAATTACATATGATGTGCGCATGAGACTTCAATATTTTATGTAGTAGGCATCGCATATTGCAGGTTCAAGTTTTCACATGTTCTCTTTTGTTATTGTACCTTCCTACTTGTGTCCCGTTGGTACAGTAATTAGTGCTGCATTCGAGACAAGATAAAGAAACTTATCCTTTCATGTTCCAGCCAACTTTCTTTGGTGTATTTTCTTAATGCTATTACTGGAAGTACTCATCAGTACTACCTCTGTATGTATGCTATTAATATAGCCCACAAATATGGATATAACTTAGCACTGTGTGATATGCTATATTTTTCCTTCTGCATGCTCATTTAATGATTGAAATCTGTTTTTTTGTGGCTGTTGATTTATTTTAATTACTAGATCATAATACAGATAATACTCTTAATTTTATGGACAGCTTTAGTGCTAATCTAGATATTATGTGTTTGTTTTTATTTTTTATATCATTTTGTTTCTATATAACTTAAACCATGACACATTTTCTAGAAACACATCAAGGTGGAGGATGTACAACTTAAAAGGGCACGGGAAGATATCCAGAATAGACTTGATATTCTGAGAAAGCAATCTGAGGTGAGTGCTAAGCAAGTCATCTTTGTTTCTCTCTGGGTCTCTCTGCCTTTTCCGGTCCTTGAAATAGAAATGAATAATTGATTTGATTTTCTATTGTTATAGGACACTCGTAAGTGGTGGCATGGTGATACAATGATTATCACTGCATGAAATAATATTGGAAAAATCATTTCCACCGTGCTTACTGAAATGAAATTCTTGTTATTCTCCCTCTCCCTCGTCTCAAAGATTCAAACTAAAAGAAACATTTATGCTTGTATTATACTTGTGCTCCCACTAAGATTTTTGTCAATTGGTTTTCTTAATTTGAAAAGGGAATGCTGTTTCATGTTTTAGAGCTATGATGATAGAGGGCCGGTCATAGATGCTGTTGTCTGGCATGATGGAGAGGTTTGGAGGGTTGCCCTTGACACGCAGAGTCTGGAGGATGATCCAAATAGTGGAAAGCTTGTTAATTTTATGCCTTTAACTAATTATAGGTACATTTTGTTCCTGGTGTGAATATTTATTATGGTTGAATCTTGATCCTAGTTGATAGCTTTTGTCTCGAGATGTCTCATGAATTTGGCAGACACTCTTTCTTTTTTAGAAACAAATTTTTCACCTAATAGAACCTTTTTGATTGTCACTGCATGCAGCCCTTGGTTTGGAAACCTTGTTCTATTGACTCCAACCTTTGATTTCCCGAGTTATTTATAAATGTTGTATATATGAAAAAAATATGCCTTATCTTTTAAATATAAAGTAAAATGTGACATGGGTTGATTGGGATTGAAGTTTGTTGTTCTTGTTTTTTTTGAAAAATTGTTTTTAAACAATTTAATGATTTCCTTTTCTGTGATCATATTAAACATCCTTTTTATTTTTTTTAAATCAAAACAGTTTAGATGCAATTCTGCAAAAAGTACTTCTAAATATATTTGATTTCTCCATTCACATCTTTTAGATGTTTTACTGGTCAGAAAAAATTAAAACAGACAAATTTGTTTCCCTATTAACTAGAAATAGGAGCAACTTAACAAGTGAGTTATAAGAATTTGGTTTCCACCTTCACTATTTTTAAGCTGTTCCTGAATTAATTTACTTTGCCATTGAACAAAATAAACTTCTGTTGTCTAGCTATTGAAGCTGTTATAATTAGAGAAATAAAAATCATATATTTATTATTACAAATATTAGGATCATATCTTCATCTCTGTATGATAAAATGTATCAAGATTATATCTCTAGTATTAGAGGATATCAAATCTTCTCTATCTATTGTATTGATTTCTTTTTCAAAAGAAATAAATCACCCGTCCTGTCACATAGACACACTGTTTCAGCTCAATGGTTCTCTTCTTTCTAATTTAACAAAAGCAATTGTTGTCATTTTTTTTTATATTTAGTGGGGTATATATTGAAATCATATATGGTTTCAATGCTAACTGTGACTGCCTATTCTTTCAGGATAGAGAGGAAGTATGGTGTCTTCAGCAAATTAGATGCCTGTACATTTGTTGTTAATGTTTATAATGATGGGAATGTCTTGAGTCTCGTAACAGACTGTTCTCCACATGCCACCCATGTTGCTGGTATAGCTACCGCTTTCCATCCAAAGGTACTGGTATATAATTTTATCCATGGAGTGCAATATTCTTTTGGGGAATAGCCTTTTCATATACAATATTGCTGTTAGGAGCCCTCATTGAATGGAGTAGCACCTGGTGCACAAATAATATCTTGTAAAATTGGGGATTCTCGCCTAGGTTCAATGGAAACAGGAACTGGTTTGATTCGTGCACTGATCACAGCTGTGGAGGTGATTCAAAATTTTCCTCTTTTTTACCATTCTTTAGCTGTTTATCCTCGATATTCTGACCAGTCAAATATGATTGTCTTTCATTTTTGTGTTTTATGAACTGAGTTTGTTTTTGACCTTTATGACATCCTGCACAAATAAGACTTTTAATGATGGGCATTCTACATTTCCTTTTCAGCATAAGTGTGACCTGATCAACATGAGTTATGGTGAAGGAACATTACTACCAGACTATGGGCGCTTTGTTGACCTTGTGAATGAAGTATTTTCTTAGACTTCTCATTTTAGCGGGGCACTTATCTCTTTTATATCTCATTTTCTGTTTTCTTTAAGTATTTGATATTTTGGTTGATCCACTTGTAGGTGGTGAACAAGCATCGTCTGATATTTGTGAGCAGTGCTGGTAATAGTGGGCCAGGATTGAGCACTGTTGGTGCACCTGGTGGTACTTCTTCAAGTATTATAGGTGTTGGTGCATATGTATCTCCTGCTATGGCTGCTGGTGCTCATTGTGTTGTTGAACCTCCTTCCGATGGGCTTGAATACACTTGGTTTATTTGCTTCTCTGAAAACTTCCTAATTGGATGACTTCTTATACCCTATTGTCTTTAATTTTGTTACTTATTTTAGCGTCATTATCTTTGCATGTATGATGGATAAAGGTCTAGCCGAGGACCAACAGCTGATGGAGACCTTGGTGTTTGTGTGAGTGCTCCTGGTGGTGCTGTTGCTCCTGTTCCCACGTGGACTCTTCAACGGCGGATGCTCATGAATGGGACATCAATGGCATCACCGTCAGCCTGTGGAGGAACTGCATTGGTCATAAGTGCAATGAAGGTTCTTGCATGCGGTTCTTTTATAGCTTATCTAATGGAGTTGTCTTTTTACTTCACACATATCTCTAGTTTTTTCTGATTTGTATGATTTGCATGCAGGCTGAGGGAATTCCTGTGAGTCCATACAGTGTGAGAATAGCACTTGAAAATACTGCAGTCCCCATAGGTGATTTACCTGAGGATAAATTATCTACTGGACAAGGGCTTATGCAAGTTGACAAGTTAAATGATTCGCTCTGTTTTTACTTCAATGGACATTTTAGTAACGGTAGTTATTTTTACATTTATTGACTTAAATCATATACTTCTTGACAGGGCTTTTGAATATATACAGAAGTGTCAAAATGTTCCATGTGTTTGGTATCAAATAAAGATCCAGCAATCAGGAAAAACTAGTGAGTCTACCATTTACATTTTACCTGCTCCGTATTTGACAAAGAAAGGAAAGATAGTTCTTTTGTCTTTCCCTTGTATTTGTGACTGTAGAAAATGGAGTATGTTATTTCTATGTGGGAATAAAATCATTCATATGTGTTCACCTTAATGATATCAAATCCCAATTTAACCTCCATTCGCTTAGTAAGAGTATCGGCAATGCAGTAGTCTACCTACCATGTGTGACTAAGGGCTCCTGCATGAGGGGTGTGTTAGATATAAAATCATTCATTTGCTTTCACCTAATAGATAGTTGGTTCATGCCCATGGATAAGTAATGTAATTAATTACACGACTTGATGCACACATAAGGTTCAAAAATGTTTAAATATAAATAAAGAAAGGTTACATGTAACTTGTCTTGGAGGAAAACCTAGATGGTAAAGAAATATCTGATACTTTTGTATGATTGCAAATGGCAGATCCTTCATCAAGAGGCATCTACCTTAGGGAGGCTAGTGCTTGCCGTCAATCTACTGAGGTGAGATCATTGATAAACTTGTTGTGCATGACTGCATTGTGAGCACAATGATTGAGTCAGGTCTTTCAAAACTTGTAGAATGAATTAAAGATGGGAAAACCAATTACTGATGATGATTTGTACTTGGATCCAATCTTGGTTAACTGATATAGGAATTATATGAATGATGAAAAATTGAAAAGTTAACAATGCTACTATACTAGTTTACATCCTTGATAAGATGAAAATGAAACAACAAAATTAGAGTCTGTGGGAAGTCTGTTCCTAAAAAATTGATTAGGAAGTGTGGGTCTGTTTTGTATCCCCTTTTTTTTTTTAAATTACTTTTTAAAATAGTTCTACAACATGTTGCAATCAATTTCTTATCCAAAGTCTATTAAGTTTTGAGAGTTATTTCTCTTAGAAAGTTGATATAGGCCTAAGTCAACTATACAAAACAGACTTGTATGATGAGGTTTGGATCTTATTTATATACTATAATCTAGTTATATTTCTAGTCAACAAGAGATTTTAAGGCGCCCTCTCTCTCACATTGAGGATATGGGTGATCTTAACACACTCCTTCACATGCCAGTCTAATAATGACTTGATAACAGGTGCTATAATAGATACAACATCGATAAGATAGACTTTGATACCATCTTAGAAAGTGGATATGAGTGTAACTAAATCCTAAAAAATCAGCTTCTAAGGTGAGGCTTGAACTCAACTTATATAGTACGATTTGGCCATACTTTCAGTCAATGTTGGTTTTCAGACCCTCTAGGATCTGGGATCTTCAATTCCAACAATTTTCAAAGCTAGTGTTTTTTTAAGAGGAGAAAGCAGAAAGACCTAGTGGCATTTCTTGTCATTCTCTTTCTGTTTTCTTCAAATGCTCTGTTCAAGTTGTCAGGATACAGACTTTTAGAAAATAGAAATGTGATTAAGGGACTAACAAATTTTAGAAAGTAGAAACTTGTTTTTGAAAACAATAATTATGATCTATTCTTGTTTACAGAATGACACAATAATTCTATATCCTAATTTGTACAACCTAAATTATGGAGTTTAACACAATATTGAGAAAAATGTTAGCCACTCAATCTCCAGTGCCTTCTTGAAGATATCAGCTACTTGTTGATTTTCTTTTCCAGTTCTAACATGCAGTAGGCATAAGTCTTAGCCAAATCTTTTTAGGCTTACTGTATTTCTTTGGTATATTTGTTGTCTATAGGTCATCTAGGATGACATATATTTTGTTCATTCTTTGTAGTATTCTGCTCATGGTTTTTTTAGGGTGGTTGTCATCTGGTATATGGAGAGATTAACATGACATGTTGCATATGTCTTGTTCTTAGGTTTTCCTTCCCCCATCCCTATCTGTATGTTCTCGTTTTGATTTTGTTAGTTCTTAGGGATTTCTTATCCTGTGATTTTAGTTCTCTATTTTTTTCTTTCCCCCACCCCCTTTTATGTGTTCTATTCTTTTTTTCATGATACATAGGGTTTGAGGCAATGTCAATGGTAACTTGTTTATCACACCAAAGTTTCATACATAGTGGGTTCATGAATCCAATCTTATCAAGTAGTGGTGCATAGTAATTGATCCAAAATTATGATAGTGTAATGCTGAAAAATTATACAGTAATGAATTGTTTTATTGAATTTTAAATGAAAAGCCATTAGCCAAACATAATTAATCACCCTATTAATTTGGTTGACTTACCGTGAGTCCCGTGACATATTACATCTTCCAACATTTGTAGGTGCCTTCTCTCATCTTCTACCTTTCAAAATTCTAATATTCTCATCAGCTCTTGTAAATTTTATTGCTGACCCTTTGTGATTTCAGTTAGTAATTCTTTTCAAACTTTTGGTTGCACATATTCACAGTGGACAGTTAAAGTTAATCCAAAATTTCATGAAGATGCCGACAACTTAGAGGATCTGGTTTCATTTGAGGAGTGCATTGAATTACATTCTACAGAAGAGGCAGTTGTGAAGGCCCCTGACTATCTATTGCTCACTCATAATGGTCGCACCTTCAAGTTAGCGTCCTTACTTCACCATTATTTTCATTTTTTGCATATATTTCCACAATTTTACATTGAATATTTTGAAAGAAGTCTTTGATTTTGTCTACTGTTTTTGGTGACAGACTGAAATTAATTCACTCATGATTTTTGTTATTTCAATATAATATTAATTTATTAGATACGTAGGGATGTTTCTGTTGATATAATTGTTTGAGTTCTGTGTCTTTAGCTTTTTGTGTTAATATTTTAATTTTTTACAGCTCTTCCTTAATGAAATTAAGAGCAAAGTTTTCTAAAATGAAAACACCTTTACTCTGAGTTTGTCTCTATGCTAATAGTTTGATGTATGAATTTTGTGGGGGATGGAAATAATTTTGTTATGTCAATCCTTCCTGCTTGAGTACTTCCATTGCATTTATAAAGCAATTATGTTTTTTGTTATAATTTTGTTCCATGGCCTGTTACTCAATCAATATCAGATATAACCATTTCATGGTACAATTTTACTTGTACAATAACATTGCAGTCTGGTGCGATCGAAATAGCAGTTGTCTCCTAACCAACCGCAAGCTCATCCAAATCATACTAGCCTCAACGATCAATAACTAACACCAATTACCTTGACCGGGGCCTACGTAATAAAAGTCCAATCAAAATTTGGGTGGATTTTGACTAGAGGAGTGTTAGCAGCGTATTCTAACTTACTACTATTGGTTAAAATTTTATTAGAAACTACAAAATTATAAGCGGGGACTAGTTAAATACAGTGTGATAGGGGCACAATTTTGTCATTTTCTATATATTTCAATAATAAAAAGTATTTTGCTAGCATTTCCCATTCAACAAAGCTTCATCAATTTTACACCTTTTACCTTTTCCAAAATAATGGTATGCTAAGTACTGGCTTATTAAACTTCTAAAACGTTAATGCAACCTAAACATTGAAGTTTCCCATATGAGCATTGTTGAAAGAGAGATAAATATATAGATGGAAGAGATGCTGAAAATTATTAGAATCAGATTTCTTAGAATATGATTTGTAGGCAAATAATATCATGTATTTATTGTCATCTCCGTTTAGAAAATGGACTTTGTTGAGTAGGTATCCTTATAATTATAAAGATCTAATTAAACAAGAAACGAATAAAAGATATAAAAGAATAATTTTAAAGACCATCTAAGATACTCTTACATATTCTAAGATAATATCTTTAGATATTACTTATATTCCTAACAAGCATTGGGTTGGGCTTACCAGTAAAACAATATTAAAATTAGAATAGTACGGCAATGCTTTCCATTATTAAAAAAATATCCACTATCTGGGTGAACTTGTGACTGAGCTATTACTAGTTTCTACCTGCTATAATTGCACAGGGCAAAGCGATGCATGGGTGTTTTAAATTAATTTTGAAAGTAAAAAGGTCTAAAGTTTAACCAAACAATTGAAGTTCAATTTTAACTACAGGAGAAACAGTCTAGTAAAAGTAGTTTACAACAACTCCAAAAAGACAATATCATGATTACAACCTCTTCCCAAAGGAAAATTCACTAGGTAGAACTAAAATAGAATTAGCATACATCACTTTTTATAATTGTTATTTGACTGAGTTTCTATTAAATAATGTTAATTTGTTGTTTCGTTTCCTTTCCTTGATGACACAATTTGTTTTCTTACACTCTCAGTGTTGTGGTCGATCCTTCCACTCTTGGCGATGGTCTACATTATTTTGAGGTCTATGGTATTGACTGCAAAGCTCCATGGCGTGGTCCTCTTTTCAGAATTCCAATCACCATAACAAAGCCCAAGGCTGTAACTAACCTGCCTCCACAAATTTCCTTTTCAAAGATGTTATTCCAACCAGGTGTGCGTTAGTTGATTAAGTTTTGTCTTCATTTTTTTAGTTGGTGTCCTTCTAAGGTTTCAAATCTGGGATCTATATGTAATCCATAGCTATCAAAAGTATTCCCCAATAGCCTTATTCTCTTTGAGAAATACATCTAATATTGGTATTGTCTTAAATTATCAATCCCATATTTGCATTGCGATAACAATTCTTTCTGTATTTTCTGGAATGTATCCCTAAAATCAGTGCTTACAGTAGGTGAGACTTATGAAGGGGATGGTTCTGCTTATTTAGTTAGACCACTTTTATATAGGTCTTATTCATGTTTGGGTGAGTGCTTGTGTAGTGCAGGGGTCATACTTGACTTCAACACTTTCAGTTATTTGCTTTTGGTTTGTTGGTTCACTAGGCAATATAGAAAGGAGATACATTGAAGTGCCGCCTGGGGCAACTTGGGCCGAAGCAACAATGAAAACATCAGGTTTTGACACAGCACGAAGATTTTATATTGATGCCGTTCAGGTACAACTTGTTGCTTGAAACTTTGTCCGATTATGGTAGTCTGTTGACATGTTTTCTATGCTCAGCTATGCCCATTACGAAGACCTTTGAAATGGGAGGCTTCTGTAACTTATCCCTCTCCTGCTGCCAAAAGCTTTGCCTTTAGGGTAGTAAGCGGTCAAACAATGGAACTAGTCATTTCCCAGTTTTGGTCAAGTGGCATAGGGAGTCATGAGACTGCGAGTGTGGATTTTGAGGTAATAGAATTCTTACGAAGATGATTTTCCTGCTCTCAAATGTTTGGATAGATTTTTCTGTTTCTTTTTTGACAAACTGAGAAATCTTCTACTTCTTGCATTGCATGGAGCATGATGGTTATTCCTATTAAATTTAGTAGTTGATGTTACATGCATCCTCAATTCTTTTATATCACCTTGCTTGGAGTGTAATAATGGTTGATAATTTGCCATTTTTCAACTATACACTACAACAAATCAGGAACTTACGTAACAAATGTTAAAAGGTAAAGGCTGTAGTTATATCTCATGAGGAATAAACATGATTTTTTCCTTCCTCTTGATACAAGAATTTGTTGCCCTTTCATATATTGCAATCTCTGAAGAAAGAATAATTGGATCTTTTTTTGGTGAATGATTTATTTTGGCTTCATGTATAATCTCTTTTATAGAGGAATATGATGTGTTATTTCATTCTAAATTGAAGATACAATTCTACTGTCTACACAAAATTCCAGGTTGTGTTTCACGGGATAAAAGTCAATGAAGATGTTATACTTGATGGTAGTGAGGCACCAGTTAGGATTGATACTGAAGCTCTACTGGTATCAGAGGAACTTGCACCTGTGGCAATTCTAAACAAGGTTATGTATTTAAATCTCCTTATCTTTCCTTCTATTTATAATGTGGTGTTATTCTGTTAATTTGGAATACCAATGAGATTTACCTGTTTCCTAATGCATATTAAACTTGCAGATTAGGGTCCCATATCGACCAGTAGATTCTAAGATTAGTGCACTTTCAACAGATCGGGACAAACTTCCTTCTGGAAAGCAAATACTGGCGTTGACTTTGATGTGAGTTATAAATTGTGTCATTTGTCTTTGGATAATTTGGATGGCCTTTTCTCAGTATTCTGATTTTTCAGCTACAAGATCAAATTGGAAGATGGAGCTCAAATAAAACCTCACTTACCATTGTTAAATGACCGCATATATGACACTAAATTTGAGTCTCAATTTTACATGATTTCTGACTCAAACAAGGTAATATTAATATTTACTTTCCTTCTAAAAAACTGAAATTGTTCATGTTAGATATTCTTTTTCTTAATCCTATGAATAATAAGTTGCATCTAACATGGGCTCTTTCGCCAAAATAATGAGTTTTATATTTTGAATATTTTTGCAAATTTTTGTTTGACTAATTATAAATAAATCACTAGTGGTCTAATAGTGGGATGTATAACCTATTGGGTGAGAATGCAAGTGCAAATCAGTAATGGGCTTTGCCAAATGATATCTGTTTCTTTGGTGTATTCCAACATCTTCTATTTTGGTAGCTCATTGCACATGTTTGGAAATACTTTTCTCCAGGAAACTATCCCATATTTTTAAAGCTGAAAAAAAAAGGATTATTTCTCTGAAATTAACATGTACCATGTTAGTTTATCATATTTTATCTCTCTTTTTATGTGTTCTGATTATAGCGCATATATTCAAGAGGAGATGTCTATCCAAGCTCTTGTACTCTTCCCAAAGGAGAATATACTCTACAGTTATATTTGAGGTACATGTCCCTTTCTGAGCATAAACCCTGGGTGAGAGTGCACATACTTCTTTGTTCCCACTGGAGCTTTCAATAGACCTGCTGGCGATACATGGCTTCATAAATTTTGAAATATATTTCAATTCATAGGTAGCGGTTGAATGCTAGTAGTGAACTAATATTGTTAAGAGGGACTTGGAATACTAGCATAGCACAAGTTGAATGTTTCTGGGTTCATAAAATATTTATGCATAGAAGTGCATTCAACTTAGTCCCTTACTCTGATAGAATACCAATTGAACAAAATTATTAAATCACACAAAATACAAACAGCAGTATTTACTGTCCCAGAGTAGTCGACTCCTACAGAGATTGGTTCTTTGTCCAAAGTACAAGGCCACAAGATATCCCCATATTCCCCCTTATACACACATTTACCAACATATAACTGCTCTTAACTCTCCTAAATTGTCAACATGACAGTTATTATTGAACATATTCTAATAATAAATAACTGCTCTGACATTTATTGTTACACCTATTCTAATAAAAAATTAGATCCTACTTTCTACCAATAACCGCCAAAACTATAGTGATTATCACACTTATATCTAATAATACATGACTGCTCATGAACGTTCTTGTTGGTTCCCATCACTTGCATTGATAATAGTTTATAATTTATTTGTTTCAGGCATGACAATGTGCAGATTTTGGAAAAGATGAGGCATTTGGTTTTATTCATTGAGCGAAATTTGGAAGAGAAGGTAGTTTATCTTATCAAATTTAAGTATTTCACAAATGGACAATTGCTGCTGAATTCGGGAAGACCTTTTCAACCATGAGTGGAGATTTTTGAAGTAGCATTGAGAATGTGACTCATGATAAAATCGGGGTCATAAGTCACCATAAATCTTATCAGTGGAGAGTTTTGAAAATATATTTAAATGATAGTTTTACTAGACTACTACAGTATTATAATCTCATGGAAGCTGCATGAATCAGATGAGGCTGTGGTTTGGACATACCCAAATTGAAGAACCTTTTACCGAGTTTTTGTAATTCTTTCTCCACATATTTGATACTTGTGTTTGAAAATAATTTGTAATCGAGTTAAAGATGCCACCATCCAATAGTGTTTCTGCTGTCTTGCTATAATAAATTCCATATGGACCACTAAAATTTAGATTATAAGTATCCTTTCTATTTATTCATTTTCTTTTTTATGTTTTGTTTGTTTCTAGGATGTCATTCGGTTAAGCTTTTTCTCTCAACCGGATGGTCCACTGGTGGGAAATGGTTCCTTTAAGTCCTCATCACTTGTTCCAGGGTATGCGAGTAGGTTTGTAGTCTTGGTTTAAATTTCTGTGATATGGTGTTGACTTTTGCTTATTCGTAGTATAAAAGAAGGATTCTATATTGGTCCACCACCAAAAGAGAAGATTCCCAAGGTACATTGCTATCTGTTATCAACGTATCAGGTATTGCTACTGACAGTATGTAACGTGTTTGTAAAATTTCTGCAGAATTCTCCACAAGGATCTGTGTTGCTAGGAGCAATTTCTTATGGGAAGCTATCATTTGCTGGTCAGGAAGATAATAAAAATCCTGAAAAGCACCCTGCATCGTATAAAATTTCTTATATAGTTCCCCCAAATAAGGTCACTCCCTGTCTTATGAAGTTACTTTCACATCCCATGCTCATAAATGCTATTTGCGCAAGTACTGGACTGTGCTGTGAATTAATTATCATATAATATGTGACTGAAGATAATGTCTAATTCCATGTTGTGTTTTGAAAGATTGACGAGGACAAGGGAAAAGGTTCTTCCTTATCTTCCAAGAAGAATGTTTCAGAACGATTAAACGAAGAGGTACTATGAACTATAAAAGTCATACATTAGCAGAAGAGTTTCCTTTTGTTCTTATTTCCTGTGTTTACTTAAGATTCAATATATGCTCTTTTGGCATATTTTTTTTCTTAAGGCAATTGCATTCTATTCCTTATTCTTCTTTGTTATACTTTAAAAATTGCATTATTTGAAATAATGGTAAATGGCTGTGAACGAGGATTTCTCTAGTGTCGTGTAGAAGTGAAGTTTACTAGTACAACTTTGACTGACTATTTTATCCCTGACATTAATAACCTTCCTTGATTTGAATCAATGCCATTTATAGAACATTTTCTAACTTGTTGATACTGTATTTGAAAGCATACCTTTTAGAATCTTCCATTATCTGGAATATTAAATTATAAATTGATTATTCACCAAGTTTTTTTTAATAATTATAAAATGGACAAATCTATACTGAAACGAGTGAATGATGTATGCACTTTTTTCTTTTATGGTCAAGTGATGTGTACATGATGCCTTTACCATTTAAGTAGAGCATGTATCTATACTGTGTAGTATGCAAGTTATGAAACAGATGACTATAAATAACCTGTGTACTTTAATTATATCTCAAATTTGTTAGCGAAGGTGAAGAGTCTATTTTAAAGATTTTAGAATGTTTATCTTATGTCTTGGTGTGTCTTTAATTTTACTTGTTCATCAGGTAAGAGATACAAAAATAAAAGTTCTAGCAAGCCTAAAACAAGAAACTGATGAAGAGCGCTTGGAGTGGACAGAGCTATCTGCCTTGCTTAAAGTCAGTGCATAATATTTTCTCCGAGTTTGTCTTTTGCCTTCATTTATTTTTGTAGTCCCACAGTAATTGATTTATATTCTTTTGGGATATATTTTTTTTCTTTTTTATGTTTTTCTAAATTATAATTGACTATATTTTCTGATAAATGTAATCAGTTGTCTATTAAATAGTACATGGATATGTTATGTTTCCTTGCAGTCAGAATATCCAAAGTACACTCCGTTACTTGCAACCATTTTGGAAGGTTTAGTTTCTAGGAGTAATGTCAAAGACAAAATTCATCATGATGACGAGGTACTTGACTCTTGGTCACATCATAAGCCCATCCTTGTCACAGTAGTTATGTTAGTAATGGTTAATGGGTTTTATAAGAAAAATTTATCCGATTGAAGTTTGTGCTGGTGTCAATAAAACTAAAAATATCACGATTGCAATTTCAGGTGATCGGTGCAGCCAATGAAGTGATTAACAGTATTGACACAGAAGAGCTGGCAAAATTTTTTGCACTTAAAAATGATCCAGAAGAGGAAGAAGCAGAGGTGCTCAATCTTGTCTTCAATAATAGTAGTTATTTTCCATTGCCCATTCTGAAATGGTTACTAAAAAACAGAAGATATGCAGAAGTCCTGTATTTTGTTGCATACATGTACTCAGTTAATATAGTAAGTACAGTAAAATAGGGAGCAATTAAGGTCTTGAGGACAGTTGTCCTATAGCTACTTAATATGTTCTGAAATTAACAATTAACATGTGCTAAATCCAACAGTTACACTGGGTTCTATTATTGGGAATTGTAAAATACTCTTATCTATGTTGACAATTTAATTAAGTATTGACATATATATAATCTATAGGGATCTAATTACATACGTAAGATATGTGGACATTCTTGGAAGTTCTTCTCAAATAGTATGGGGACTTTGTTGAAAAGCCTCTGAGAGTTATGTTTTTGTAGATTAATTTAAACGCAAACATTGTATGAATGATTATGGTGTAAATATTTCTATACACTAATGGTATCAAATGTTAACATTGTAGATGTTAACCCGAGAAATTTGTGGTGCAATTTGTTGACATTTAATGATCTTTAATGATCTTTCACTCCCACTGTAGAATATCAGGAAAAAGATGGAGTTAACCCGAGATCAATTGGCAGAGGCACTGTACCAAAAGGGGCTTGCGCTGGCAGAGATTGAGTCTTTAAAGGTTTGAGCTTCTTTATTCTTTTTTCTGATCAGGCTCTTTAAAGCAATTATTGTACATTTTCATTAATAATTTAAATACATGCTAAACAAAGTGAAACCATGCAGATGCTATTACTAAGGTCTGTTGCATTAGTCATGTTAAGTTAATGGAGAAGTTGTTTTATTTTAACCTATTAGCTGTTTGAAGCAGTAGTGCTTGATTTTGTAAAATTATTGAAAATAGATACAAGAATAGGAAATATCCTGTAATGTATGATGACAATTTCAGTATTTTTCTCTTGTACACAAAGTACCGGGTATTCATCCTGTGAATGTAAAATATTGAGACATCCAGTTGGATTTCCCTGTGTCACGACATCATATTAATGAATAGGATGATATAGTAGAATATAACATAGACACACATACATATACTCTGAATGTAAAATATTGAGACATCCAGTTGGCTTTCCCCGTGTCACCATATCCTATTAATGAATAGGATGCTATGGTAGAATAAAATGATTAAATCTCATTGAATGTTTATGTAGAATTTTTCACTAACTGTGCATAAGTTAAATTCATAATCATTTTTGAAACTACAGTTCTCATGGGCATGACATTTATGGGATTTTATTACCCGCATTTCACTTACAGTAAACCTTTGGTTAGTTTGAGTTGAGTCATCTGCATTATTCTTCTGAAGAAAATGCGGTGAACCTACTTAAATGCGTCGCAGTTCCATTATGATAGTGGTAACATTTAATTATTTTTTTACCAATAAAAGTTGGCAGACTTGACTTGGTGTATATTGTCAAAGGACGTAGATAAGTCCCCAACTTTGGCTGCCACAGAAGAGGCAAAAGGAGGCTTAGACAAAAAACAAACTACAGATGATAGCAGAGATTTGTTTGAAGAGAATTTTAAAGAACTGAAGAAATGGGTTGATGTGAAGTCAGCTAAATATGGAATGCTCTTAGTAACACGTGAGAGGCGAGCTCAAAGGCTTGGGACAGCATTGAAGGTATTCTTTTTTTGCAAGTCTTGCATTGGTTGCTGCATGTAAGTCATCAATTTATATATTACTTACTAATAATATCGTGTGGGGCATTGGAGTCTATCCGATACTATTGTTTGATCCTCAGTGAGATTTATTTAGTAGTCACGTATTATCAATATTTTAAAACTGGACTAATTGTCCAATTAGCAAAGGTACATCGATGGTTTAACCATAGTTAAACTAGTGCAGTTAAAATACTTTTTAATTTAACGCTACAGAACTGGTGTAAAAAATGAGATTTACATCCATTTATATACTATAATTTGACTATATATCTCTAATCAATATGAATTTCCAACATTAAAAAGTAATATACATTGATATTTCATTAAGCAGTTGTAGTTCGTATACCTAAATATAAGTTCAAACATGTCAGTATTTAAAATGATATTAGCTAGTCCTTTGGAAAAAAAAAAAAAAAACCTAGAAAGAATATCTCCATGGTTTTATGGACGATATCCTTTGAAGAAAAAAAGCCAAAAGCTTAGGAGAATGTTGTCTGGTTTTGTGGATTTTGTATGAATTGGACACTCGAGTTAGTTTTTATATGTCTTGGGTGAAATTGACTGATCTTGTCAGTGTTTTTCATCATTGCATATTAGAACATATGTGCTTAATGAATCTAAGTCACAAAACTTGTGAGATAGGTCATTATAATTTATAGTTAGGCAATCTATAATCATGAAGTAACTCTTGTGTGTATTCAATGCAAGTGTAGTTATTATATTTTGATGTTGATCGCATATGGCGTAAAAGGTAAAGAAGGGACTTTGGGTAGTTAAATAACCAACTGCTTCTGAACCTTTTCTCCGTGGATTCAGGTACTGTGTGACATAATTCAAGATGATGCAGAGCCTGCCAAAAAGAAATTCTACGATCTAAAGCTGTCTTTGCTTGATGAGATTGGATGGACACATTTAGCTACATATGAGAGACAGTGGATGCATGTGCGTTTCCCTCCAAGCTTGCCTCTTTTCTAGGACCTTCCCATCGGTAAGGTGCTGGACAGCAATGTTAGGACTTTGGAACAATGTCCTTTCCTTCAATATTTTGCATTTGAGGACAATTTATGTAGTTGTAGCATTACACCTTGAACCGTGTGACCTATCCTTTTCTCTTTGCGGGCATCTTGACCTGGGTATTTCAATCAGTGTGGCTGCCACATCAAAGGCACCGTGGATCCCATTTACATTAATAAAATAATATCTGAATAAAGAGTTTTCGCTTATCTTTGGTTGATTTTTTTTTCCCAGTACCTTTTTTATTTCAATTTAGAATCTAGAGTATCTAAAGTGACTCTTGTTTTGTGCACCTTGTAGTACTTTCCATGGATTTCGAAATGGGTTTTCTGCAATGGAAAATATATATTTCGGAAGACCTAATTTGGAATGTAAAAATATACATTCCGGAAGACCTGCCCAATCTGAAAAGTATTCGAGATTCTAAGGAAAATGAAAGTTGCAATCTTACTTCGATCTGCTATCATTTGTTGGGTTTAATGATTTATATCCTGAGTTATTGAAGAAAGCAAATGGGGATGAACTCCTTTTTCCTTATGCCCCTTTGTGATGCGATTGATAGAGATAGCAAGGAAATAGATAGAAAAGGAATCACCGGAAGAGAAGACAAATGAAAATTTTACTATTATGATTAATATTATTATTAATTATTAATTAATGATTAATAATTATTAATATTCTTTAATTATTTTATTTATTAATATTATTTATGTTTATCTTTATTATAATATTTCTTTATTTGCATTAATCAAAGCAATGCAAGTATAAAAAAGAAATAGCATTTACACTTCATTTCCAACTTTGATTTGGATGTGCGATTAACAAATTAACATAAATTTGTTTTACTCGTTGTCCATTCTTTTTAGAAGATTTAAAATTTGTTTGAACAAACTTTTAAATAAAGATTTTTTTTTAAGATTTACTCTATAAATTAAAATTAGCTTATATATAGATTAATTTATAAAAAAATGTGTATTTAATTTTTTAAAATTTTTATTTTTTTAACTTGTTATGAGTTAATTTTAACCTAAGAAAAAGTTCTTATAAAATTTTTATTCCAAATATATTCTCAAACTTCGAATAAAAAAAACAAAGACAATACACTTAGTCGATGATTGGTTTAGGACCTCAACATAACGAAAACTAAATATGTTAACTTGAATTCAGCTAAAATTAAACATATGTAAGATAAAAAATCATGATTCATCTTTTTTATCATATTTTTAATTTAATGGTATATTGATAAAAATAATGAGTAAATTACTGACTAGTTATATATATATATATATATATAAAAGTTATGTTTTGAAATTACAATTTTTTTTATCGTAAAATGGTCTTTTGAGATGACTGATTTATCTTTATTTTTTTTAATATTTTTAAAAATAAAAATAAAAAGGTGACTTGAACCGGAATGGTAAAAATCCCCTGAAAACCATTATTAGATTACTCAGTAGCAGAACTACAACAGTATGAATGGATTAGGTACACGTACATGCTCTAACTTTTGTATTCTTAATTTCATTTTTCAAGCAATGCCTTAAACATTGGAGTCTCTACATACACATCACTTAAATTCAACTTGTACGGATCAGGAGATTCCAACTTTTGTGTTGAGCACATGATGCTTGTTAAGAAGTTGACATTTTTTCTTCAACTCATTTTTATCACTGAAATAACAAATAATGCTAGAAGACCTTAGTTGGGTCAAAGCCGCAAGTTTGGCTTACGAAGAGAAAAACATGACCCAGTAAAGAAAATTTAAATTTCATATATTAATAACATATTATACACAATTAATATTTTATGAATAATAAATACATAGTCATATTGAGTGTAAAAATAACTTGAGAAAGTAAATAAATCAAGTGGATAATTTTTTTATGTATATTTAGAGGAGCTACAAAATAAATTTTATTATAATTTAAATATACTTTGAGAAAAATGGAAATAACCATGGTTCCACCATATCATTCTTCCATCTTCTGACTGCTAAATATTTTTTGTCTACGAGTTTATTTTTTATATTTAATCAATAAAAAAAAATGAGAGGAAACTTACAGAAAAAAATTCTAAAAATAAAAAATAATTTCTACAATAAAATTTTGGATGAACTGATTTTATTTTATTTTTTTCTTATAAGTATTTATAGATAAACTCTTGAAATACACACATAATTTTTATACAACTTTTACTATAATTAAACATATATATTGTGTGTACATTTTAATTAAGTTCTCCAAATTGTCTCCACAAAATATGAGTGCATAATATCCAATAATCAATCAATCAGATTAATTTATTTGTTTTTTCTGTTGATGAGCAACTTATGTATGTTTTGAAAGTCTGCATGCATGAGGGTTTAGGGTTTGAAAGTCTTCATGTTTACATTATAGAGTTTGAATTGTGATGGGGAATACAGCAAGAAAGTGGCTAGTTTCTGTTCCCCGCGTGGCAACCGTAACTTTCTTTCTTCAACGCCGCAGCAACTGATGACAATTTTAACTTTCTTCTTTTTGCCTCACTTTCATACTGTTTATATTACACCTGCCATGTAGCTCAACTAAGTTTTTATGATTATGACATCATTTTGTATGTATTATTTTTATAAGGTAGAATACTATTTTTTAGCTTTTTTTAGAGTAATATACCCATTGTGGTACATAATCATGTTTTCACGTGTTTAAGTAAATTAAGATATAATAAATACATAATGAATGAATAAATATAAATAATATATATGTTGATATTCTTATCTATTCATAGTATCTCAATAGATTTATAGTATACAGGTAATGGGTCTCTCATGTACTTTACGAAGATGTTTAATCATTTTGATAAACATAATTAGATTAATTATTTATATATTGAGAAGTTACGGTCATGTCTATGATACATGTATATATAATAAAATAAAAGAGATAATAAGAAGGTGTGTACCCTTTTTAATTTGGATTAAAATTGATTAAAAAAGTATTATAACGATTTTTCTTACTTGATTTTGTTAAGTTTTAATAAATTTAAAATAATAAAAAAATATTTTAAAGAGAATAAATAGTTTTAACATTTTTATAATCTTATATTCATTATAATTACGTTATATTTAAAATATTATTTATTTTGAAACTGTAATTCATGATTTTATCCTTAACAATATTTTAATAAATAAATAAAAGATAATATATATAAATTATCTTTAATAGAAAATAATTATGAAAGCTTGATTTTTCATTAAAAAAATGATAGGATACATTAATTATTTCGTATGTGGGGCATGCAAGAGAATGACCTACAACTAACGACATTCTCTGAGGGACACAATTGAATGATTTGCTAACTAACAAATTTAGTTTTTTTATATTTAGGTTTGATGATGGTGTCGGAAAAGTAGTTTAATAATGTCATGCTACGTATTAAAATATGAACAAAAATTTGAATTGTGCTATAATTGAAAAATGGAATTGGTTTTTGCATAGAGGTCAACTTCCTCTTCATCATATTTTTTAAGCCACCAAACAAAACAAAGGCTTGGTGTCAATTGCGGCTCAATCTAAAGTATATCATATTTAATTCCCATCTTTGAATCAAATAAACAACAAAGAGAAACATGGAGATTAAACCAATTATATTTCACACTTATTTTAAATTCATGTTTTTCTATTGGAATTTATATCATTGTGTTTTTGTCTGTGACTTTATAAATCACAAAAGATAATTATATTTAGGTTTAATTATTTTTCTATTTATTTTATTTTTTATTATGATCAATTTTCTTTCCACTATCAATAAATTATTCAATTTGAGCTCTTATTTTTGAAATCGATCCAATTTATTTATTTATATTCAAACTGTGTTAAAATGACTTTGTTAATTAGCGGCGAAAATTTTAAACCAACACTAAAAAATTATTAGTACCAACATGTATTATTTAATGACATTGTCAGTAATCGAAACTAATGATGTAAAGTCAAATTATTTTATATATTAATTAATATTTTATTATATAAAATTTTAAATTTTAATTAGATTTATCTATTTATATTAGATATATATATATATATATATATATATATATATATATATATATAACAATTATTGATCATTGGGCGATTTTGAGATCATAATTCTAAGCGGCCTTAAACACTAATTTTCTTTAAATATTTGTAAATGTAAAACTTGTGTTATTATTTTTATTTTATTTTATTTTATTTTATTTGCATTTCTTCCCAAGTTTCTACGTACGGCACCTAAACTTTTCACGTGTATTCTGAAAATCTTCAAACCGCAGTTTTCACGACAATGACAACTACTATTTAGTTTCAATAATTGCTTTTCCTCAATTATTATTTGATGAATAGTGCATATAGGAATGAACACATTTGAGATTGAAATGAAGGTTTTTTTTTCTGTAAAAAACTTGTACACGATTTTTTTTTTCTAATTTTTTATATTTGGTTTTTGAAAGTTTAATTTTTAATTAATACATAATTCATTATAACTAATATATACATTGAAGAAGTTAAATAACTACACAAAGATGCAATGATGATTTTGTCTTGTTTATTAGTAGGTATATGTACTTCAAAATGTAGAGCAAGCATATACTAATTAAATTCAAACTCTTGATCACATTATTCGGAATACTATTTAGATTTTTTTTTAATAAAAGTCTGAAATTAATATAAAAAATAATTTATAAATAATATATTTACAAATAAAAATAAAAATTACTTAAATTAAATTTTATTTTTATTTACTTAATTAAACTTATTTATTATTTGTACATAAAATTTAATAATAAAAAATAAATTTATCACATAATACAATTATTTTTTTATTTTTCTTTTTATTTACTTCTTGTTATTTTTGTCCTCTTTTAAATTTTTTTTTCTCTTTCCCTTCTTTTGTTTTTCTTTCACTCCATCTTATCCTTCTAATTAAAAGTATTATATTAAAATATG